AGAGTGCTTGTCCTATCAGCCGGGATATTACTGTACTCACTATGGAGGTCAGTGGAACGATGAGTCTGTGTGTTTGAGAGAGAATAAGTGCCTCAATGTCATCTTTGCCACTCATATGATCATCTACTCACATTAATAGTGCTGTTAAATGTGAACACATCTATTTGCAGCTGTAACAGCAGTGACACACAATGTTTTACAGTGTATCTTTAGGGCTCTAATGGTTGTATCCTATAGCCAAACGGCCAAAAAACAAACACAGCAACATCAAGGAAATGCCTGTGGCGATGCAGATAGTTGGACCCAAACACTGGACTAGAGGTGGGTGAAGGTATGAAAGTTTAAAGTATGGTCAAAATGCAGAGTAACAATGGTGGAGGCTTAAAAACACACACAAATACTTCCAAAGACGATGAACTGAATGACCTTTACTGTAGCTGAGAAAATGATGTGGTAAAGAGCCAGAGAATAGCCGAGGTTGATTTGCAGGAGAGGTGATGAGCGGGTTGCAGGCAGGTGTGATGTTAGGCCGGGTCCAGGTGGGTGATGGAATAGAAATGAGACTCACAGAAACACATGTGTTCGACCAGAGAGGCAAACTGGGAACATGGATGACACAAGAGTAGTTTAGCTGAAAACAATTAGCAAAAAGATGCTCTGCAGAGATAAGGGGACTGCAGAGTTTGGTGATCATTTTTGTATTCTACCAGTGACGCTTATCAAATTCAAGATGTCATTGTATCAATTGTTAATATAAAGATATTGATTAAAGCTGCTTTCCTTCTTAACTTAATGAATCGTTTTTTACGAAGACCAACTGATCCTCCTCAAGATTCACACCTAATGGGCTCTGCAGTGGTCAGCGCAGCAGCTACCCACTGCTAACCAGCAATCTCATGTTGGCACTACATACACACACACACACACACACACACACACACACACACACACACACACACACACACACACACACACACACACACACACTACAACCAGTGAATATACAACTACAGGGAGTCAGCTCTGAAGCCACATTGCCCCCTACTGGTTGAAAAAAGAGAATTGCCCCTTCATTTATAGGAGGTATTTAGATCTTTTACTAAAATAAGTCACTCACTTAGAATAGTGTAGTTCAATAGAAAGTGCAATATTTTCCTCCAAAATGCTGCAAAGGTGAACTTATATGTTATATTTAATGGAAGTATTAAGAGTAGAAGAACAAGCTTCTTAGGATGCAATTTAAGTACAATGCTTGAGTCCAGGCTGAATACTTACCAACGTTATTCATTCTTTCCTCTTCTCCTTTTTAGTATGACTGCTTTATTCAATATCATGCCTCCACCATCGACTTTTACTCATAATCTCTTAAAAATAAAGGAAGTCATTACCATAATGCTTGTTCCCTGGTTTTATGGAGAGTTAGAGCAGCAGCAGAGTGGCTCCAACCATCACATCCTGTTCTGTGGGAATCAGCAAAGTGGATTAAGAAGCATGCACTTGCAAAGCTTTTGTATCTGACATTATGATTTGATTAAATTCAAGCAAAGAAAAAATAATAAGCAGAAGTTAAACATTCAAACTCTCGAAATATCAATGGCAAATAGACAAGTAAGAAGCTGCACAATATAGTGAAAAGTATGCAAACTATTACACATTAGTTCATTAACTCACAGTCAATGTTCCTGTGTATCCGAAAGGTGTTTGAGGTCAGGGCCAATTCAGAACGAGCCTTTGCCACAAACTGGAAGCATACTATTGTCTAAATTCAAATGTAGTATCATCAAGGCTTCCTCCCTTAAAAACAGACATGGATAGAGGTACTGGAGACTGGAGACAGACGGAGGGAGAAGCCACATCCAGTCAGGGTGGCTGAGTTTTACTGCTTCCTCGGGCTCCTCCCTGACTGATATTGATTATTCATTTCTCATTGACTGTGCAGATGCGGGAGAGCTAAACTGCAGAGGAAGGAAGAGAGAAGAAAGCCATTATCCTCTGAGTCCGATAACATCTTAACTATGGTCGTAACACCAGTCAATGAAAGCAAAGATGTGTTCATTTATCCATTTTTATTTATTACACTTGTATTACATACCACCACCAAGGGAAATGCTACATTTAGTTGGTCTTTCTTATCACCTATCCCTAAATCAACCATTTGTTGTCACTAGTCTGCTTGTTAGACCGCTATTAAATCATATCTAAATCACTGCAATTACTTTGTTAGAGCCACTATTTTAAAATGTGTTTTAAATGACTGTGATGGCACACTTTGTTTGTAGAAAGATGACACAAAACAACGGAAATGTTGTTCGTTCTGTATCACATGGTCGGCAGGCCAGATAGAACTATAACTTTAATATTACCATCATGCAATGCCAAAGACCTAAAATGAACTTAAATACTAAATAGGTATTAGGTTGATGGCTCAGAAGTGCTTTAAGGTATATGCTTATGTCTATGACAACATGTTTAATGTTCAACGTCTTACATTTTCTAATAAGCACTAAACACAAAGTAGAGGGGATGTTAATTTAATTTAGTTTGCTGGCATTTGGTCATGCACCAAAGTAGGCTTTTAGAAAAATTGGATAAGTAAGATAAAAGTTTTAAGGAAGCCATTACAATTCATCCTGCGTGTGCGAAGATCAAATTTCATGACAGTGCATCCAGAAGTCTTCGGGACCACAGACCCACGCTGTTAGCATATTAACAGACGTGTATTTCTCCCGGACCCAGCCACCAAAGGTTGAACTCTCTTGTGTTTTCTGAGAGTGCTGAAGGAGCTCAGGGTGTCCCCAGGCTTCAGCACTGACGCCGCACAGCTTCAAGATAATTTGACTCTGTGACTCGTTTGTAACTGAGGGAATATTCATTTGGGAGGAAGGGAGAGAGCAAGTGTTTTAGTTTTCAAAACAGGAAGAAAAAACACTTCTGTGAGTCTGACTGTTGGAGATGGAGTGTGTATTGTGGGCCCCAGAGGGTAAAGTGGAAATTACTTTGTCTTTGACAGCAAAATACTGTTGAAGAGCCTCAGGCTTCTTCCTTTCCCCGTCTATCTTTGCTGCTCCACTCTCTCTCTCTCTCCCGTTTCAGAACAATTGTTACATATAAGAACAGTATGATTAAAAAACATTGGCAGAACAATAAAAATGAACTGCTTTAAGATCCAACAGCTTATAAGAATTAGAGATGTTTGAATTGATTTCAGTGGGCAGTGTAATAGAACCAGATGTACTGGGAAGCTCATGGGTTAAAACAATGTGCCTAATTGCAAAGAAATGATAAAACGCAAATAAATGTTCTTTAGATATTTATAGTTCAGTTTATTGTTCAAATGACAGAACATTAATTTGAGCTTTGTGTCAAGATAATAAAGATTGCTGTAATAAAATGCATACATCCACACAACCATTTGACATTTCAATGTTTTAGCAATTCAATATGTGGTGTAACAAGCGGAATATGATTAAGTATTGACAGTGTGTAAAATGTTTTTTTTTCAAAGTAAAAGATTAAGGTGAACATTTTGCAACATTAATGATGTTGTTTTAGTGTCTGAAGAATGATCAATAACAGAAATGGTCAATAATGGTATAAAAATATGTGGAAGAAACAGTCTGGTGATTGTTAAAGACCATATTTCTAAAAGTCCCATTCTACTTGCAACATTAGGGAGCCAACATTATGTTAAAATGGGTCTTTTCTCTCATCCTTTACACCCCAAACTCTCTCTCTGTCTCGCTCACTAATTACAACAACCCGTCAGCCTCCCCCTGGTTGCTGCAGCGATCGGTCGTCGTCATGGCAACCCCAGTGGTCTGTCTGCCTGGCTGGCTGTGGGGGTGTTATCAGGCAGGAAGGTGAGTGTGAGCCTCTCCGCTCACACACAGTTTAAAAAGGGCCAGAGGGAGAAGGGTTTGGGTGCAAAAACAGAGGTTTATTGTCCAAAAGATCAAAAACACAAATATACACGTTGCCGGTGCGGGGTCTTTACAGGTCCTTTTTCCAGCCGACAACGTCCTCCCAGGATCCAGCCTACTGCAAGACAGACCAGAACCAGGTTTCAGTGACTGATTACCTGATTCTGATCAGCGGTCTGGTCCCCGGCCAAGCCACTGCCATCACTCCAGCAGCCGGCGCCCTAACCACACCCCGCTGCCACAGTGAGATAGTTAATTTCTTCTTTAGTAGGCCTAGATTAAACAGTTGCTGGTCTCTGTCAGTGAAACATTAGAACCACAGAATAGCGGCGGTGACACGTAGAGGCAAATAAATACAGAGTTTGAATATTTCTATCAATGTGAATTTTTGATTTTTCATAAAAAAGAAAATCCATAATATTCGTTAAATATCATATTCCAAAACCTACCAAATCTGCAAAGGAAAAACTGGTTGCATGAGGACTGTATTGAGAATTTGATAGTCTTATAGCGCAAATACTGTTTAACAGCTCTTTGGAATGAGCAGTTGCTTTCTAAAAAGATGCACGTCTTTAAATCGTTATTTGCGTAGTATTATTAAGTAGATATTCTCTAATCACCTCATCAAGAAAAAAAATACCAAACATTCAAGTTTTCAGCTTCTCAAATGTGACTCTTATGTCGTTTAGTCTATCTTAATCTTTTGTTCTGATGTAAAGACTTACTTAAGCAACATTATTGCACAAAACAACCCGAGCAGGATGCTAGGGACAAGTGAGATGAGAAGGCAAGGCAAGTTTATTTATATAGCACTTTTCAACACAAGGCAATTCAAAGTGCTTTACAAAAAATGAAAGACATTAAGAAAAGGGCATTTAAAATCAGTCATTAAAAAGAAAAGCTAATAAAATAAACATTAAAAGAAAAAGTACATGGATAAAAGTTACAGTGCAGTTTAAGATATGAATAGTTCAATTAAAAGCAGCGACAAAAAGAAAAGTCTTCAACATGGATTTAAAAGTATTGAGAGTTGCAGCGGACCTGCATGTTTCTGGGAGTTTGTTCCAGATATTTGGAGCATAATAACTGAACGCTGCTTCTCCACGTTTAGTTCTGACTCTGGGGACAGAAAGCTGACCAGTCCATGAAGACCTGAGAGATCTGGATGGTTCATAATTTAGCAGGAGGTCAGTAATGTATTTTGGGACTAAACCATTCAGTGCTTTATAAACCAGCAGCAATATTTTGAAATCTATTCTTTGACACACAGGAAGCCAGTGTAAAGAAGGAAAGAATAGTTGCTCAATTTTAGATTAGCCCTGAAACTATTGTAATTAACAGTATGATAGACCATCAATTGTTTAGTTTCATGTGAGAAATTCGATAGGGGAAGAAGGCTGAAAATACAAAAGGGATTGGATGAATGGCAATCTTCCCAGAGATAAAAACACAAAACATGGAGGCCTCTTTCATTAAAGTCAGCACACACACCAAGTACAGAAGAGCACACGATCACTTCCTCACTCAACTGCTGTTCAAAAGCAGACAGGATTTCAAGGTCAAAATCCTTGAAGGAAAAAACTGGATTATTTTCACAGACACCTTTGAGGGTTCCCACAGGAGAGAAGCACCTGGACAGTGGCCCCCAGGTCATTTGACTTTCTGACCCTGATTTAAAGTATGGATAAGTACAAAAACCTTTAATGAATGATTAAAAATAATTTGTCTTTCAAAGTAAATCCTCCACTTTGGCTTTATTGCAATTTTTATTAACTTCATATTAAGAAGAACATTTCTTGGATAACAAGTATAAATGTTAAAAAAAATCTATAAAATCCTTGAGTGCAAAGAACATTTTACAATGAAACAAACAATCAAAACAGCATGAGGTGTAATAAGGAAATTGAGACACTTAAACACCAAGAAGATACAAAAATAACGGTTGGATATTTGATATTTAGAAAAGTCCACAGACCTCATCTACACCCGCACTCATCCACCACCATGTCCTGGTAGTGCCGAAGCACCACGTTGTCGTTGTTGTCGTAGTACAGCATGGAGATGGGGGCGAGGCGGATGGGGACGCAGCAGGGCTGGGGGGTGCCGCTGGGGTCCAGGGAGTGCACCAGGGTCTGCAGGATGGCGTGGTTGGTCCCGTTCAGACTCTCACTGAGCGGGAACGGGCACTCGCCGTGGCAGTAGTTGGCCATGTAGCCCTGCGGGGCGATGATCCAGTCCTGCCAGCCCACGTCCTTGAAGTCTATGTAGAGGCGGCGGGCCTTGCACACGTTGCTGGGGGTCACTGGGAGATGGATGGCGTTCCTTCTTTGTCTGGTGCGACACTGGTGGGGGTTCAGGGAGACCGCCACCAGCATGGCCTGAATCAGTGGCAGGGCGAAGGCTGTTTCCAGAGGAAGGGAGTTCCCAGGGTGAAAAGGAAGAAGCTCTTTCGCATCTATGCTGAATGGCAGGAGCTCCAAAACCAAACCGTAGTTGCGTCCCGGTTTGCGCCAGCTCTCTGCCAGGGAGGTGAGGTCCAAGGTGACGGAGGAGGGCTCAGGCTGCAGCTGGACCGACTGGGACAGGAGGAGTCTGCGGTTGGCCTGGGGATTGGCGCCCCTTAGCGTGGCTCGAATCACTTTATACAGAGACACACTGAGGGTCCGTGGCCCCTGCAAGAGCTCCGCAGAACTGAAGGGCTTCCAGTGGAACTTGATTTCCAGCTGAGCCAGAGACAGCAGCTCCACAGGCTGCAGCATGGACATGTTGAAGTAAAGCTGCTTCTCCAGACAGGCCTGACAGCTGCTGCTCCAGCCAGACACCAGCCTGCCTGCAACACATCAGCGGGGAGAGGAGCATTTTAACAGCAGGGGTTTATAAGTGGAGATGGGCTGCATGATAACCTAACTCATAGAGAAGAATAATTTGTCATGACCAATGACTTCTCATTCAAACAAACACTGCAGTTGTACTCACTTTGCATTTTTAGCAGTTTTTACTAAAGCACATTTGCAGTATAATTCAAAACAAACATTTATTGTCTTAGTTAAAATAAACGTTGACAAAAAATGAAGACTGTTTGCACTCCTTAAAAACACTTTGATAAGCAATACATTTACTCAAACTAAAGCTCCAGAATAAATAAGTAATTCAAAAACTGTATCTTTTAATTAAATGCAAAAACAAATGTAGTGAGCTGTTCCTAAAGTTGGGGCTGGTGAATGCACATATACTTTAGTCAATTTTCTCCTACATTTATTGATAGACCTATGTGTATTGTACTGGCTGTAGACCAAATTGGTCATTTTATGTTTTAAAAAGACAAACATTTTTACTTATATGCAGATGTGGTGTAAACATTTTTAGAACTGGATATTTAAAGCAATGCAGGTTTTCTGCATATGACTTAGGAGTCCTGGTTATGTGTAAGCAAATACAGTACACTTCAAACTTCTAGATTATGGTTTTATGAGCACAATTGTCCTCTGCATATAATTCACATTACACATAATTTTACCTTGGTCCTGAACGTATCGGATGATGTTTCCACGGACTCCGTACTCTGACACCGTGCAGGGGTCGCTCTCCCGGGCCTTCATGTTCTCTGACCTCCGGAACATCCTCCAGACCGCGGAGGGGACATGGCGCCGGGACTGGTGGCTCCCCGCCGGCTGAGGCAGCCCGGAGAGCCCCAGAGAGCCGAGGAAGAGCCGCTCCTGGGACTTCATCTCCTCCACATGTGAGAGCGTACACACACCGAGGAAACACACCGCTAGCAGTAGCAGCACCACGAGAGTCATGTTTGGCCTCATGTTGGACTGCACTTACTCTGCTGCTTCCTCACCTGAAACGCTGCTCCCAGAGAGAGGGACGTTTGATTTAACCTGTGAAACCTCCCGGTGTGCAGCTGCATAATTAGCCGATATGTTAATGAGAAGCGGGCAGATAAGCAAGTGATTAGGTGAGGGTGGGGTGGCGGCAAGATAGAGACTGATCTCAGGTCAGGTAGGGAATCAACAAATGGTGATTTCTGACGCCAACAATAAAGTTTGCAAAACCGGACATGGAGTTAGTTTGTTTAAACATTGTTTAATAATGTTTTGGTGAATAGTAATAATTATACCAACGTCTCTCCTCCATTCATGGCATAGTTGTATTCACCTGCCCTTGGATCATTAAAGGCCGAATATGTCCCCATGATATTTTAGTTTACACAATAGTTAAGGTTACATAGGGCCTAATGGAAAATGTGTGAACGAAAGCTCTTAAAACTAATGTATTGATCAAATAATACATTAAATAAATAAATCATATTAAGAGTAGGGTTGCTTTCTCGGTTGAGTTCATATATCTAATCAAAACTTTCAAAACATTCAACAATTATTAAGTGGCCCCCCTGTAGTAGATTTGACCCATTTTGCTTCGAGGTGGTTCCAGGACCTGTGCCCCCTTGACAAAGGAGCACTTGGGGTCAAACCATAGACTGTATAAAGTTTAAAACAAGTAATTCCTCTGAGTTTCACTTTCCATTTCCAAACTTTACAAAAACATTCCTGCCATGGGAGGCAGGTAAGTCATTTAAATGAGGAACTTTTTAAATAACATGAGTTAATATCTCAAAATAATGAATAATACAAAATAGAGACTTTCTATTACAAAATAAAACTGTATATTACAAAATAAAGACTAAATATTTTTTAAATAATGTGGAGAGAAGGCAGAGACTGGGAGCTGCTGTGATGTGAGAAAAGTGAAACTTAAGGGAGGGTTGAGGTACAGAGACTGGGAGCTGCTGTGATGTGAGAAAAGTGAAACTTAAGGGAGGGTTGAGGTACAGAGACTGGGAGCTGCTTTGATGTGAGGTAAGTGAAACTTAAGGGAGGGTTGAGGTGCAGCAGCTCCTATAAGAGCAGAGTCCGTCCACTGGCTCCTCCAAAACTCTGCCCAGGATGGGAGTCCAAGGCCTGATCACTCTGCTGGAGAAACACCGGAGGATCTACCGGGATCTCTGCCTCTCTCACTGCCGGCTGCTGATTGACGGCAGCATCCTCTACCACTGGCTATACTTCAACTCAGGTGAGTACTGCAGTACACAGAATAGTACTCAAATCTTGTACTTGAGTAAAAGTAGAAGTACTCAGATCTTGTACTTGAGTAAAAGCAGAAGTACCAGAGTGTAGGAATACTTTGTGACAGTAAAAGTCCTGCATTCAAAATGTTACTCAAGTAAAAGTAGAAAAGTATTATCATTAAAATATAGTTAAAGTAGCGACAGTCATTGTGCAGATTGGTCAATTTCAGAATTATATATATATATATATATGTTTTATAATTATTGATCATTAAAGTGTTATCAAAGCTGGTAAAGGTGCAGCTAGTTTGAATGACTTTGTATGCAGGGTAGCTTGCAAATTTACTCCAGGTGTAAATAAAGTCTGATTTAACACTTGATTATATTTAATAATAATAATAATAATAATAATATATTTTATTTATAAGCGCACTTTTCATTTGCGTAAACAAAACTCAAAGTGTTACAAAATTAAACCCTATCAATGGGTGCGTGCAGGTAGGCTGTCTTCACATCCATCTGGTGTAAAATCAAGTCGTCTTCGGCTGCCTTCTGCATAACTACCCGTACACTGGTCAGATTAGCTGTAGGGGATAATGTCTCACCGTAGTCTATTCCTTCCCTCTGACTGTAGCCTCTAGCTACAAACCTGGCCTTGTACCTGTCGTGCCCTTCAATACCCTCCACTTGCCTCCGACTGTCTGTCTACCCTCGGGTAACTTTGTTAGAGTAAAAGTATGATCATCTCCTCATCCATCGCTCTCTCCCATTTTCCTGACTCAGGGGATATCATGGCCTCTTTAAAGGTCTGAGGTACACCACTCACTACTCTGTAGCAGTAATCTATGCTGGCAGTGGCGTGCACAGACATTTATAGGGGCAGGTGCTCAAGAGAAAAAAAAAGGGCACCTTCTGAGTCGTCGTGGCGGTCGTGCCGAAATTGTGCGCAAACATTTGCCGGATAATGGCGGATTTTGTTAGTTTATTTTCGGTTTTTGGTTACTTTATTTCGGTTTTAGGGTTAGGTTAGGGTTATGTTATTTAATTCTTATTTTTGCCTGATTTTACTGATTTATTATCAAAAAATAATTATTTTAACATTTATTTGTATTATTCTAAATGACTTAGGGGGGTCCAATCTGAAGCTAGGGGACGACGAAACCCGAAATTATTTTAATTATGTAGCAGTCAGTTTATAATTTTGGCTGCACTGTTGAGCATTTTGAAAATGTATTTTCATGCCTCTTAGTATTTTTATAATACTTTTCTACTTTCACTTGAGGAACATTTTGAATGCAGGACTTTTACTGTAACAGAGTATTCCTACACTCTGGTACTTCTACTTTTACTCAAGTACAAGATCTGAGTAGCCTACTTCTACTTTTACTCAAGTACAAGATCTGAGTACTTCTACTTTTATTAAGTACAAGATCTGAGTACTTCTACTAAAGTACAAGATCTGAGTACTTCTACTTTTACTCTAGTAGCCTACAATCTCTATACTTATACCACCTCTGTTTATAGCCTATGAAAAAAACTATTAGAAAACGAAGGCTAAAGCTAACGTTAGCAGATAGTGACAATGATATTGCGACAGAAAAACTTTTCAGTTCACATCACGCTCTGCCGCTCTGCTCTGAACACCTGAACGGCCCGTTCTAACAGCTGTTCACCAGCGGCTCAGTCTGTGCCACAGTCACTCCGCACAGTTAACGAACACACCGTAGATAATGTAGCTGACCCTCATCCCGGAGCAGCAGAGTTCAGCCGGCCCGACAGGCAAGAAGACTCGAGCACACAGCTCGCGCTTCATATATTAAAAAATAACACCATGCGCGTCATGATGGCACATAACAGCTCGCGACCGCAGATTATTTCGGCGATTAGATAACATGTAAATTATATTTGACGCAACTTTAGTTACATTTCCATGACTTTTCCAAAACTTTGGGAACAATATTGTTTTCCATAACTTTTCCAGGGCCTGGAATTTGCATTTTGAATTTCCATGACGTTTCCAGGTTTTCAATGACCGTACGAACCCTGTATAGTTTAGTTTGGCATCTGATTTAGGGGATTAAACAATACACTCGTTGTATTTGTTACCTGGTGGTTACTCACTTGGTCGTCACTAGGGCACTTTTAATCGTGTTGCTGCGTGCTGCTGCACCACACAGTACACCCGCCGTGGCCTGTCTGGCTGTCAGCTCTGCGCGCTGCGCGTTCACGTTGAGAGCAGGGAAGGGAGGGGCTGCAGCCAGGGCACGTATAGGGGGGTGCCGCGGGGCACGTGTGGGGATGTCTGACAAAATTACAACGCGCATTTGGGGCATTGTGTATATATTAGAAGCTTTTAATCCAGAATTGATCGATGTTACCATGAGCCACATACAGTACACTGTAAAAAAAAAAAAAAAAAACTGTAAAAAACGAACTTTCAAAAGGGCACATTGCTGTCAAGAGGGCAAAACGGGCAGGTGCTCAAGCACTACCTAGAGCAGGGGTACTCAAATACAAATCTTAAAGGTCCAAAATAAATGTTTCAATAAGACAAAGGTCCGTTTATTACGGTCATTCAAACTTTTAAACAATTGCAACAAGATTCTTAACACAAGGTTGCAAAAACAAAAATAATCTGTATGCAGCAGTTTTCATTGTTATTGTGTCTGTGCTTGACCCCTCAGAGTCGCAGAGTAAGAGCTGCACAGTTATGAATAAAGGCAGCTGCACCCTCTTTCATTCAGCATTCCCATTATTGCTTTATAAATGTATTCCCCCTTGTGCGTCCACTGAGGTTCGTCAGGCCCAACACATCTTCAACAAACTCCCCCTTTGCCTCATCATAACAACTCACAAACACCAGCAACTGAGCATTGTCAGTGGTGTCAGTGGACTCACCCACAGCTAAGGAAATGCACTGTGCATTTTTTATTCCATCACAAAGCTGATTAATCAAATCACCAGCCAGTATTTATGTTCTTCTGGTTGCTGTGGAATCTGAGAGGGAGATTTGCTTTGACCTGTTATTTCCTCTTTGTGTTTGCCTTCAACATGGTCTCCATCACTTCAGTCATGCATTATTTTATACTTCAGTTATTATCCAGTGGAAAGTCCTTACCTACTGGCCTAGTTAAATCAAAGTGGTTACTTTTTTTTGGCTGGGCAGTGTAGTTTTACACACCGTCTGATTTGACTTTCTCAGGACTTAAAACAGTTTTTTGGGGGCAGACCCCCTCAAAGAAAAAAATATATTTACACACGTAAGGTCATCATCTTAATAGTTGTGTATGCTCATCCGTGAGCAGAGCATCAAGTTGACATGTCTATTACAGCTGAATGCGGCGATTACCATTTTGTTCAGCAAAACGCCTCACAAACGTATTAAGATCAACAGCTTTAGTGCGTTTTGATTCAATGCTGAGTACAGTCACACTGACAGTCTCTTCTCTGTCAGACCGCAAACACCTCATTCCTTCAGCGCTTGGGTCCGAATGCTTCTCGTTTTGCGCCGTCCAGTTCAAAATGAAATCGCCGCCAATCGTATGTCCACGCTCGCGCCAGGACCGGGGGAGGGGTTACATGACGTGCATCTTGTGCTGCATTCACTTGCACTCGGACATTAGAGACTTTCTCTCATAAATGTCCGATGAGCCACAACTTTTCTTTCAAAACAAAGCTGCCAACTGGGGTGGCAGCTGGGGTGGCAAGGCCTATTTGTAGGGTGTCAGTTGCCACCCCGGTAGGTGAAACTAGGCTACTAGCTACAGTACAGATGGAACTAGATGAGCTGTTAACTCTCGCTCTGAATTTTTTTTTTTTAATTCTCGCTCTGACTTAGACAGGTTGAAAGAGACACACACATTTTTCCCACCCGCAGTCCGCGAAGACCCGCCCTACTGTGCCTCTGATTCGCAGATTGTTTGGGGGGGAAACGCTGACTGGATGCTGAATGTGATTGGACCAAAGCGTTGACACACACAGGTGGAACACAGTGGAACAGTCAGACATGCAGAGCGCTGTTTGCAGTGGACATAGCGGAGAATTTTGACTCGTTGCGAATGCGTTGTGGCGATGTCTCACATATAATACAGAGAGATAATACATATGAAAAGTATAATTTGCTCAGAGTCCGGAGACAGTGGTGGTTCGGTCCGGATCCGGACCGGAGTCCGTAGTTTGAGGATGCCTGACCTAGAGTCTATGTGTGCACGTCTCTGTATGCTGGTAAGTGTACTGGCATGTGTCATCCTCGTCACTTTCTCTCTGGGCATAGTCTTTCAGATACTTTGGGGGTTTATGTTCCCGGGGGGGATATCTCCCACTGCATGAGGCATGTGACGTCACCCTAGGGTGCTTCTCGCCATCATCCTCCGGTGGCTGTTGACCGTCTGTCTGCATGTCTGTGCTCAGTACACTAGGCTGTGGCGTCTCTCTTTTCTCACACTCTACTCTGGAATCCAGCTCTGGCTCCTGTGTCTGTGTCTCGTTCTCACATGTTGTCTTTGTGACAAACTTTACTAACCTGTGCTTTTGCACTTTCCCCTTACCGGGATAATAGACTAGAAAAGCGGGGCTGCCCTTGTCATGCCCTACAAAAAGTCCTTTCTCACACCTGGACTCGAGTTTTCCTCTGTCCTGTTGGTAAGCATAACACACTGACCCAAACTTGTGCATCCTGGCTAGATCACACCTTTTTCCTGTCAGTGCTGTATATGGGGTGGTGCCCGTGTGCTTGTTAAAACACCGATTTCTGGTGTAAGCTGCTTCTTGGACCGCATAATGCCATAGACTCTTAGGTAAGTTACCGTCTATAGCAGGGGTGGCCAACCAGTCAGAGGTTAAGAGCCACATTTGTTCTATGTTACTGCAAAGAGCCACATCAAACACACAGTCACTGATACCG